GTAAAACATGCACATCATTTTGATAATAATTCTGAACAAAATGTGCAGGATAGATGTTATTGCAAAAAATGAATTGTACTTATTATAAGTAGAGTTTCTTGTTGTTCTAAAATCATACTGTTTTTTTTTATTTCGTTTTTATTCAGAAAGTAGGGGAAAAACAAAAGTTGACAGAAGTTGTAAACAGCTAACTTGCATTTAGTACGTGCGATAAATCAAAAATGGTAGCAACAGAAAGACACTCTGCTGACACAGAAGTGTTTTCTTAAATCAGGTCAGTGGTTTTAAACTCACCTGCACTGGCGGTCAGCGTGGTCTTCTGCTCAATTCTGAAGCGCATCTCTCTCACAGCTTCCTCAACAGATGTCCCAAACACCTCAAACGCACCACCAGAAGCACCGTCAGCTTCAGAGCCCGGCGAGCAGGGCGAGGAGCTCGGGCTGTCCTCAAACAGGACCGGAGAGAAGTCCCTCTGCTCTGGCTCCAGGGAAACATCCATCTGATCTTCACCTATAGGGAAAAGAAAATACTTCATACAATAATCAGATGAATGAAACTTGATCATGAAACAGACTTATTTTCTGCCATATTCTCAGGTCTAGAGTCAATTTGAATAATGTTGTAGATGCATAAAAACAACACACCACACCATGTAATCATTCTACATTGCTACATAATTAAGTCCTGCCTTTAGTGGTGCTGCTGGTGCGGAAGCAATGTGTTCGTGAGGATTCAGGCCAGCTCTGCCTCCGCTCCAGGTGCTCTGTGAAATCCAGATAGGCTTCATCCAGGCTCATCGGCTGGAACTGAGGGTCATAGTCTGCAAAAATCTCACGGATCTAACAGAGAGACACACATTCATGAGCACCTGTTTGTTTAAGCAGGAAGCCACAAAATGACTGCACAAAATGTGTTATCGTGCAACTTCTAGAAGCAGTTATCTCTTTGTGCGTGTATGATTAATCATCACTCTCACCTCTTCACTCACAGCTCTGTATTTGTCAAAGTTGGTTGGAACAATAATTAAGTTGGGGCAGAGTTTCTTTGCAATGAAGCCAGGCATGGCGGCTCGGACCCCGAACTTCCTGGCATGGTAGTTCGATGTTGACTGAAAGAGAGAAGATGAGATCTGAATATAACACTTTACATTTGTCTTGGAGTCATTCATAAAACATTAGCCTTGCTTTAAATTCACTATTCATAGTATAACAGTATGCGGAGTGCAGTGATGTTATAGTAATATATACAATAGGACTTTTATTCCTGTTGTTTGGGAAAAAGGGCTAAAGGGCTTAAACCATTTCTTTTTACTTTGGTTATTACTAATGTGTGCTTTGTTTCTCTGTATTGAACATGTTAGCTACTTTTTTATTGCTTTCCTTTTATCTGCTATGTGACTTTTTCCCCGCTACTGAACTAATAAAGGGATAACAGAAAGTTGTACCAGTGATGTAATACATACTTTTCTTGTATTTCTACCCTGTGTTATCAGGGCATAGCGTCCACTTTTTAATTCAATCATCTAATGAATAACCATTATAATCGTATACATTTTGCGAGAACATATTCTGACCCACCAGCATGCTCATGGATCCTACAGCCATGGGCTTGTCCTTCAGCTCAGGACAGTCCCTCGTCTCCACAGCAGCGTAGAAAGCATCCATATCCACATGTACAATCAGACGGCTGAGATCACGACTTCTCTCTAGCTCTGCAACCATCTGTTCAACCTATAAAGATAGCTTTGATGTAAAACACTTAAGTGGTGTGATATTTATTATGTAGCTTTGTCATTAACAGTTCTTTAAGTTTGTCTGGTTATTCGTATTTGAGTGACCAAATGCCAGATACATCCATAACATTTCTTACCTGAGCCTGTCCTTTATTTAACTGTTGCTCTGTGATCTGTGCTTTTTGTAGCATCATTTTCTCAATGCGCTGGTTCACCTGCTGCTCTCTCTTCAACTCGTTCTCATAAAATCTAGACCCCTGCAGAGAAACGACAGATTCTGTAACACAGCTATAATGAAAAAACTATAATAGCACATTTATTTTTAGGACTGTGTGTCACTAAACTAGAGATATGGAGCTTTCATACACGGCTGGACACAGGCAGTACAACTGTACCTATATTTAATATGATTCACAGCTCACTAAAGAGCTTTGTCCTTTCTAACAAATCATTTATCTTTGTTTTAAATGTATAGAACATTATATGCAGGTTTAGGGAGTAACAGATTACATGTAACAGGATTACGTTATCAGGATACCAAAAAAAGGTACATGTATTCCCTTTAAGATACATATAAAAAGAGGTCATCAAATTACTGTTACATTTCTAATAACTTGGGACTACAAGCAGGTAATCAATGTTAGTCAAACACTAAAAATAGCATATTATGTTTGTTGTAATATTTGATATTAAGGTAATCCAAAAGTAAGGGAAAGTAATCAGATTACATGACTTTTGATACTAAGATTAGGTTACTGATTACATTTGTTTACAGGTAACTAGTAATTGTAACTGGTTACATTTCTAAAGTAACCCTCCCAACCCTGATTATATGTATGTATATACAGCAGAACAAGTCTAACTGAGTTGTAAGTGTTTACCTTTGACGACTCCATTATGATCTTGTTGATCCTGTCCCTGTCAAGACCCTCCATACCAGCCTTGTTGTCATTGAGGGCCATCCTGGAGAGGAAGCCCTCTCCTTTAGAGGATGCAACCCCCTTCTCCATCCTGAAGAATGGATCCTTTGTAAGGAAACAAGTGTTTATTTTCAGCAGTGTAATCACTAACAACTCTGTTCCAAAGTGAGTGGATAACCCTGAAGGATGTCGAATGTATCTCATTACATGTATGCCTTATAAAACATTATCAGATAACAAACACATATTCATAAACGTACCTTTCACCTGTGAAGAGTATCAGTCACACTGAATTATATTTAATCAGCTGTTCAACTTTCATCCCTGTGTGTTTTGAAAACTGACTTGACGCTTTTGGCGGCACTTCCGCGTACATGCGTCATCGCCGGAAAGGGCGGGGCTTATCCTTTTAAAAAATAAAAGAGATCCTCACTAGAGCACTTTTGAGCTTTACGAGATCACCTTTTACCCCTTTCAAAGACTACGTGTAACATTGTCTATAGGTAATTTTTGAAATATTAATCCCAGAAACCCACAATTTGAAACATACATGAAACAAAAGCTATAAAATACGCTTAAATAAACTATAGATAGACAACATAACATTTTTATTAGAACATTACATTTATTTCATAAAGGTCTTTTTTAAATAAAACATGCCACTTACATCAGGAGTTTCTTGAAAGCTGCAGGTAATGACATTTATAATTATCTTAGGATTTACATCTGAACGTTTCCTTTTAGAGTTTATGGCATGACATAGCCTCATGAACCTTAGACTGGGCGTTTTCATTGTGTCCAAAGTACACCGAATACTAGAAAGGTGTCATCAGAAGATAAAACACTACTACACCAATAACAATAATGTATAGTTTAAGGATTGTCAAAATAAAAATCTATAACTTGCATCACAGAAAATAGATCAATGTGGCTAAATGTGTCATAATGCACTGATCATAAAGTATTGTTTTGCTTGAATACATTCCTCGATGTTTTACTTTTATAGGGCTTTATTTGTGCAACATTGTGTGTGTGAGAAGTCTATTGTACATGCAACAATATGATAAGTACAACATGTTTTGTATTCTTGCTCTATTTAACTCTAACTATGAATTTCCTTTGACACATTTATGAGATGTCAATTCTCTACTGTGAAGCACTTTGGACTGCAATTATTATACAAAGTGCTATACAAATAAAGCAGTACCACTTTACAATAAGACTACCCTTATAAAGGGTTTACGAATAGTTTGTAATTCATTTATTAATTAGGTTGTGTGAACACTTAATAAATCATTAATAAGCTTTTACAAGACATGAGATAAACAGGGCAACTGTGACCGGTTACTAGCCAAATAGTGAGCCCACATTTATCTGTACTGCTAAGCCTTATATTGGCTACCTAGCTTACTACGTGTTCTTCATCAGCCAGCATCCTTGGTATCTGTTGTTCACTGACTTGATTCTCACTAAGTAGCCAATATAAGGTTTAGTCATCTTGCCAAATAGTGAGCCTGTGTTGATGTATGAAAACTATGTTAGAACTATAGTTTATAAATGGTTCTTATGATTAATAAAGTGTTTACGACCTAATTCATAACCGAATTATAAACCCTTTATGAATCCTTTATAAGGGTATAGTCTTATTGTAAAGTGGTACCAATAAAGCTTATTGTTATTATTATTATATTATTATTATTAATGTTTAATATTATTTTTGTAAAACACTTTGAATGGCCTTGTGATAAAAGCAGAGGTGGGAGAAGTACTCAGATATTGTACTTAAATAAAAGTAGGAGTACCAGAGTGTAGAAATACTCTGTTATAACTTACAAGTATAAGTCCTGCAATCAACTCAATCAAGTTACTCAAGTACAAGTACAAAAGTATTGGCATCTAAATATACTTAAAATACAAAAAGTAAAAGTACTCATTATACAGAATGGCCCATTTCAGAATAATAATATATTATGTGTAATAACTTTGTATAGTGCATTGTAGCTTGTGAACGTTATTCCAGATATACTTGTTCACACTCAAAATCTGCAAAGTAACTAAATGAATGTAATGGAGTAAAAGTAAATGATTAACCTTTGAATTGTAGTGGAGTAGAAGTGCAAAGCAGTACAATATGAAGTGAAGTACAAGGACCTCAACATTTGACTTAGTGCTTACTTAATTGACTTGGTTACTTTACACCACTTGGTTAAAAGGTGCTATATGAGAAAACTTGGCTTGGCAACATGTTAGAGTTTTATCTTGAAGGGGAGTGTGTGCGACTTCCGGTGATCATGCCGTTGTGTTCATGGTTCAACACCCCGCTCTCTTCAGTACACAGTAAAGCGTGGCTGCAGCTCCTCCCCCCGACCTGAATGAAGACAACCTCCTCCGCTACTGCTAACCAAACTGCGGAACTACAGCAGCGACACACACGGTCATTTGTAGCCTGAAGTTTAAGACACAGCGTGAACACGAAGGCCTTCTTCATCGATCACTCTTTGCAGCAGATTACCCACCGCAGCTAAAATAGCTAACGAGTCACAAGTGGCTAGTTAAGTTAACGTCGTTTGACAGCTAACGCTAACTAGCTAGTCTGTTTAGTATTTGACATCAGTTTCAAAACAAAGCCCGCAAAACGGAGAAGTTGAGAGTCAGCTGTCACCTGCAGAGAAGCTGGAGACTAAACTGAGTCTAAGTCTGTAAACCGATAAAGATACATGACGCTTTTAAGATAATGTTTAATACACTCGGTTAATGCTTAATTAAGACTACTTCGTTAGAGAAACAGGTTTTTGGTTGTAGCGAGTTTGATCTCATCCAGCAGCTACGCGGTTCTCTCGATATACATCAGATTTCCTTCAAACTTGGATTTAAATGTCCGAAAAGAGTTCATCGTCCGGTTCGGATGAGGATGTGGACCCGGAGGCCGCCCAGCATGTGGACGTCGGAGGTGTTTTAAGCAAGGTGAACCACTTTAAATGTTATATCGTATAATTCAGCTGCAGTGGTGTTAAGTAACTAAGTAGATTTACTCAAGTACTGTACTAAAATACAATTTTGAGAGACTTGTACTTTACTTGAGTAGTCAAATGTGTTGCTACGTTGTACTTCTACCCCACTACAATTCAGAAGTAAAAAGTGTACTTTTACTCCACTACATATATTTAGTTACTTTACACATTTGGATTAATGATGTGATTACTGTGAGTTAAATTCACAAGCTACCCTGCAATATACAAAGTCATTAAAGCTAGCTGCACTTTCCCCCGCTTTGATAACACATTAATGCATCAATAACTATAATCAAAACACATCATATATTATTCTGAAATGGGCCAATCTGCATAATAAGTACTTAAAACGTTGGTACTTTAAGTATGTTTTGATGCTTATACTTTTGTACTTTTACTTGAGTGACATTTTTAATACAGGACTTTTATTTGTAAAAGAGTATTCCTACACTCTGGTACTTTTACTTTGACTCACAAGATCTGAGTACTTCTCCCGTCTCTAGAATCCTGCATAGAGGATGTGTTGACTGTTGGTTCAACTGTTTGTGTCGTGTCTCTTGTGTGTTTTACAGTGGACAAATTACATACACGGATGGCAGGACCGATGGGTTGTGTTGAAGAACAACACCCTGAGCTACTACAAGTCAGAGGACGAGCGGGAGTACGGCTGCAGGGGGTCTCTGTGCCTCAGCAAGGCTTTTATCGCAGTAAGTATGTACCTCGGTATGAGAAAGGAACAACACTGCTGCTGTCTCTGCAACAACAGAAAGCAGAATGATCTTAGCGCCTGTCCGACTTTCCAGGGAATAAGAGCTCATAACCAGGGCAACCATGAAAGGCCTGATTTTCTGCTCCAGTGCTTTCGGAGTAGGGTTACCTATCCCGCAGGTCTCATTGTTTGACCCTCACGCTCCCTGTCATTGGCATTAGAGTTGAACTTTAATTCCTTAAATCAACGCTCCTGAAAGATAGAAAGGGTAAACATTAACAAGTAATGAGGCTGTTTTTAAGATTACAAAGATAGGGTAGAGACCTGTATTTTACCCAAGAGATGTATTCCTGCTCAAACAGTCATTTCAGAACACACACACTTCCTCCATGGCAGTTTTGGCACAAACTACTTGAAATTGATGTTATTTATGGGTTAAAATGTAAGCTTTGACGACTGCACAGATCAGACCTGTATTCTCCCAATGAGGCCCCTGTGTTGGTGAGATAAGTTTAAATACCACACCGTGGTTAAATATTCACTGGGCTCTCTGAGCATACCGCCACCGTGTACAGAGGCCAAACAAATAGTTTTTCTCTGCAACAGGATTATACGACTCAAAACAGGATTAAAACTACAACTTGAACATTTACAGTTAGTTTCCTTTTCCAGTAAGTGGGTGCAAAATACCAATTCCTGTGTTTGTGCAGACCTGAATGGAGCTCAACGAGGCATGTGTGTGCTTTGTAATTGTGTTATAGTAGGCTAACCAAGAGTGTACACAGTTTGATTACACATGCTCATTTATTATTGGAGTAGTATGACCCACACAGTCACTTCTCACTGCCTCTCCTTTCCTCCGGTATAAAGCCTGTGCTGTCTACGGAGACGGTGGTATGAGGACTCAGGAATGCAGGAACAAGCCTCTGCCTCTCTTCTAGCCTAATATCAGTCTGTTACACGCAGTGTGTGTGTGTGTGTGCGCACAGACACGCCAGATTGTCTTCATCGGGAAGCAAAATATGCTGGAAATGTCAGTGAAAATCAAATCTAAATTCCTATTGTCAGCCAAGAAGCTCAAACCAGTTCAAGCTCTTGTCAGTTCATTGGTGTTTTCCTTCCAGTTATATATGTTTGTACAGACAAACTCATATAAACAAATATATATATATATATACCACCTGGGAGCCTCCCTAGGGAGGTGTTCCAGGCACGTCCAGCTGGGAAGAGACCAAGGGGTAGACCTAGGACCAGGTGGAGGGATTATATCTCTTCGCTGGCCTGGGAGCGCCTTGGGATCCCCCAGTCAGAGCTGGTTGATGTCGCCAGGGAAAAGAAAGTTTGGGGCTCTCTGCTGGAACTGCTACCCCCGCGACCCGACCACGGATAAGCGGGAGAAGATGGATGGATGGATGGATGGATGTATAGTGTTACATTTTGTTTGGATTACATTTCAAACATGTTTGCACACACACTAGTGTAAAGGCAGTTCATGTGAGAAAAAGCTTAGGTTTCTCTCCTGGGAAAAGGTTAGAAGGGTTCGACTGATAACCTTCTCTTTCCCAACACTGAAGATGCAATGCAGAAAAGAGCCAGTGCAGCAAGGATATTCAGTAGTGCCTACGCAATGGTAAAGAGATTGTCCCAGGCGCAATGAGAGAGGTATAAACCGGGCTGTAAAGCAGAGGTTTATGGGCCGTGTCTGATACAGCGCAGTAAGATAAACTGGATTTCTCTGACCAGTAATGGCATCACGGCTGGATGCACTTGGGCTTACCATTGCTTGCCCATCCTTATAGAGAAACTTAGAAAACTACGTGGACAGTAATAGAAAGCATCAAAAGGTCAGAGAAAACCACACACCCCTGTCAACATCCCAGACACGCAACTTGTGAAATGTAATATTAGTGTTAAAGACAAAGTTATCCAAGCCCCGTTCAGAGTTGTCGGTAGAAGCAAATAAACCAGCACATGAGCATCATTCAGCAAATCTAATTACATTTTGGGCGACATGAGGTTCTTGTCAGCTGACAGAGCAGCTGTAGTCAGGCTCCTACCAAGGAGAGGAAAAAGGGAATGATTCAAGTGAACTTTGTCTAATGTATCACAAGGAACCTTTGCAGAACAGATCTCTCCTCAGTTGAGTGCAGCGGTCACATTCCAATCTCATAGGAAACGGGAATTCTTTAGTTCACGTGTTTTGGGTGCCGAAGGCAGGGTGGGGTGCATTGTAGAACGGGGGAGGGAAATAGTTGAAAGATTTGGCCCTAATAGTGGGATGGAAAAGTTATGATGACCCAGGTTCAGGGGGAGGACGTGCTGAAAGGAATATCTGTTTTCCTGCTCTGCTCTGCTGCGGTCGTTTAGGGTTGCATCTGCCGGCATGAGATATCAGTTTCTCATTAATATGCCTGTTTATTCGGAGGCAGGGGCTTTCTGTGATGGAATCCATGTGTGTCCAGAATGTCTCGTCGCACTCAGTCATTGTCGTACACACACACAAAGTGGGATTTCTGCTCTGATTGATTTGATTGAACTACAGGGAAATGATACTTTGAGTTTTTATTCAAACACAGGTATCTGGTGTTGGTCACATGACACATGTGCTCTGCCTAATCAGACTCGGTTGTATTGCCAAGTATGTTCACACATACGAGGAATTTGCTTTGGAATAAATGGTGCATACAAAGACACAGAAAGAAGAATCCAGGTAAAAAAATGTGAGAAAGTGAGTACAGTAAAATATGACAAATACTACATTCAAAGTGGAGAGCTGTGTAGATTTAAAAAGAGGTAGAGCAGAAATGTGCAAAGGCACGTGCAGGATTTACAATATTAAAAGATATTGTTTGCATTGATGTGATGATTTAATAATAACTATTTAAGAGCCCTCTCCTCTCTCTTTGCAGCCTCATGAGTTTGACGAGTGTCGTTTTGACATGAGCGTGAACGACAGTGTGTGGTACCTCCGGGCTGAGGATCCCGAGCACAGACTGCAGTGGATCGAGTCCATAGAGCTGCACAAGGTGAGTGGAGCAGGTTCTTCTTTCTCCATAGAGTTTCTTGAGCGTATCTCTGGCTTTTCTTTACACCCTGGTTTGTATGTCATTCAGTCCGTCTTGTGATAGAGTTGTTGTTACGACCTGCCCTCTACTTAATGGTAGAGACTCGTTGGGGAGAACCGCAACATAGAAAACAACACAGCATTTAACGGTGTTCATTTATTGATACATCCGTACTTACATGGCCAACCGGCAAATGAACAATGCACTGGAGGACAGGAAACAAACAAAAGGACAAAGGGGGCCTGGGCCAGCCACACCACGGGCCGTAGGACCCAGAGCTTCCCTCCGCTACCCAGAAACCTGCGGGAGGAAACAAAGCCGCGAAAAACCTAAACTACCTGTTCCTCCAGAGTACATAAGACACAAACTCTAGGAATCTACAGATCCTGAAGCAGAAGAAGGAGGAAGACCACGGACAACCTCCTCCGGCGTTGAGATTAGGGAAGAGAACTCTTCTCCTCCAGCTTCTGCTTTTCAAGTCCCCAGCTGAACGTAATTAGGACACCTGGGGGAGGCGGAGCCAGGGGCGGACCAGGTGTGTCTGTGCAGCAGGGAGACAGAGAGACAAACAGGAGGGGAGCACGTAACAGTTGTTATGGTAGTTTTGATTTGAGATGCATGATAGATTAATGCTGTTGTAGGGATTTAAACAAATGTCCACTTTGCTTCAACAAACAAAACAAATGTTTTAGGGCTGTCAAGTTAACGCAATTTTTTTTTAACGCCACTAATTATTTTAACGTGCGATTGACGCATGTGTATTTGTCCTCGGCCCACCCCGTAGTTTCAGAGCCCAAAGGCTTGACGTTGTTGTTGTTAGTTGGATGGTGGCAGATTCTAGGGAGAGATATGGATACAAAAAAAAGGTGTTTTAAACAGCAAGCCAAGCACACAGCTGATGCTGACAGCCCCGCTCCTGCCGCTCGCTTGCCGGCAGACCATGCTTGAAAGTTTGCCGGGGAGACGCCTGGACACGGTGTCTACGAGCAGCAAGCTTTCAACAGCGATAGCTAAATGGGTGGCGTGGCTACAGCTTGCAGGACAATTAACATTGTGGAGGACGAGGGACTGCGTGAGATCATTTGGATCGCATCCACGTGTCGACTGCACATCACAAGCGCATTATTTTGACCCACAGTGGGAACTTCAGTCTCATGCTTTGACTGTTATGAAGACAGAGGAGCGGCATTTCGCCGACAACTGTAAACAGGCTTGTCTGTTTGAGCAACTGGCTCAGTGCAGAAGAGAGAGAGAGAGAGAGAGAGAGAGAGAGAGAGAGAGAGAGAGAGAGAG